TACAACCAGGGCTATGGTGCTAATGATCCAAATAGAGGGCATTATCCTCCTTATAACAATCCTTATGCTCCACAGTATCCTCAGCACAACACACCAGTTAGTCAGTCAGTACCTGGATATCCTGGTTCTCTCAACATGCACAATTCATCAATGGGCATGTCACTTAACAATACTGGACAACCCATGGGTCATCCAAACCCTCCAGGACAGTCAATGGGCATTTCTAATAATTCTGGACAGCCATTAAATCTTCAAAGTTCAACAGCACAGTCCATGGGTATCCCAAACCCTTCTGGACAGTCAATGGGATTGCCAAATCATTCAGGACAGTCCATGGGACTCTCAAACCATTCAGGACAGTCTATAGGATCCCATAATCCTGCTGAACAGTCTATGGGAATGCCTAACTCTTCTGTGCAGTCTTTGGGCCTACCCAATCAACAAGGACAGTCCATGGGAGCAGAACAGCCAATGGGACTTAATGCAACAGGACAATCAATGGGAACCTCAAATCAACCTGGACAGTCCATGGGAGTTTCCAATTCCTCAGGCCAAGGTATGGTAGCTCCAAATCCTTCAGGACAACCAATGGGGGCTCCAAATAATTCGGGCCAGTCTATGGGAGCTCCCAACCCAAACAGACAGTCGTTGGGTGTACCAAATCCTCCAGTACAGCCTTCCAGTCAACCTGGTAATGGTCAACTTGGAGGTCAATCCACTCCTTATCCCAATGGACCAAGCAGTCAGTCTTTGGCAAATGAACCTAGCCCAGCCACTCCTGCCACTCCTGCTACGCCAGCAACTCCAGCAACACCTGCCCCAGCCACTCCAACACCAAGCTCTGAGGAAAAACCAAAACCTGAATCTGAAGAAGCTGATCAAGTGCTTATCAAAAAAGAAGAAATCAAAGAAGAAGAAGAAGAAAATACTGAAGAGAAAAAGGAGGAGAAAAAGGAAGAAACTAAAAAAGAAGAAATGACTCTTGACTGGGCTGAAGGCCTATTTAAGGAATATAGTCCTGGGTTGTTAACAACATCAGCAAAATTCCAAGTATTCTTTCAGATTTTGGAAGCATGTACCAGAATAGGCGACCGCCTCCTTGTGTTTTCCCAGTCTTTGTTTACACTCTCTCTCCTGGAAGAATTCCTACAAAGATCCTATATTCCAGGAACTTATGAGGGTTGGCTCAGAAACAGATCCTATTTTAGATTAGATGGCAGTACATCAGCTCAGGATAGAGAAAAGTTGATTAATGAATTTAACATGAACCCTAATGTTAGGCTGTTTCTTGTGTCAACAAGAGCTGGTAGTCTAGGCATTAATTTAGTAGGCGCAAACAGGGTTGTAGTTTTTGATGCTTCATTTAACCCTTGCCATGACACTCAAGCCGTGTGTCGAGTCTACAGATACGGCCAAAAGAAGGAGTGCCATATTTATCGCCTGGTTACAGATAACTCACTTGAGAAACGTATTTATGATAGACAAGTAAATAAACAAGGCATAGCTGATCGTATTGTAGATGAAATGAATCCAGATGCCCATTTGTCATCTAAAGAGATTAGCAACCTTCTTGTTGAAAATGAAAGTGACCCAGACCCTGAGGATTTTAGTGACAAAACTGAGAAGTACAAAGATGCAATTTTGCAGGAGATAATACTCAAGCATGGAGAACTCTTAACCAAATGCCCATTTAAACATGAAAGCTTGCTGGTTGATCGGAAAGATAAAAAGTTGTCCCGAGCAGAAAAGCGTTTAGCAAAGAGATCATATGAATTGGAAAAACAGGCAAATATCAGTTACAGTCGACCATCATATGCTGCATTCTATCCCAAGAATCAGCAAGGACAACAAGTAATCATGGGAACCAAAATTGGGTAAGACTTCATTTCTTATGTTTTGTTACTTACATTTAAGAAAAAAAAAGACATTAGGGAAGTAATAAAATGGAATTTTATTCTAATTTTTTTTACACATTTAACTATTAGTTCTCTAGCCCACTAATCACTGGATCTCCTGGTACCATTCAGAACGATTTTCTATGCTTCATGCATCAGCCTCTCTGGTGAAAAATTAGAAGCACAGAAAACATATACCTGGTCTGTATGCTCTTTGATGCATACAGACCAGGAATGAGAGTTTAGGAAGTGAAACTAAAAGGAGGATTTAACTCTATTTTGGGGGGCTGTTATTCTTAAGTGACATCAGTTAAGATCAAACAAATTCACAGCTACTTGAGGCATAAAATTTTGAGTAGACTCGACTGTGCATGACATTATAGAACATTACCTCACCATGAGTGATCTTTTTGCCACGACATAATTGGGCATAATCCATCATGAGTGGGCTAGATAAATGATAAGATTTTAATTAGCACATATGAGGGTAATGTAATATGATTTACATCATTTTCCAGAGGTGTGGTATATGCCAAACCAGTTGGCACTGTTAGACCATTGCAAGCTGAAATGGGTCAGCGTTTAGAAGGCGGAAGCTTGATCCATCGGCCAAATATTCTGTCTCGTGGAGGACAGCCAAACTTCCCAGTTGAAGCATTAGCTAAGCAGGGAGTATCCGTACAGCAGATAACTGTGCCGAAAGGTAAGATAGTTTAGATACAAGTGGATGAAGTTAGAATATCTCTTCTTCTTCTTTTTTTTTTGTGTGTGTGTGTGTGTGTGCTTGCGTGCATGTGTGTGCGCACGCCTCTAAGTCTCAGTCTGTCTGTATCTGTCTAGATTGGTGCATTCTTTGCTTTCTTCACTACTGGAAGATTACCTTACCTGCCACTAAAAGGAAATAAATAATAAATTTTGGATTGGATCCATATGCTTCATCTCAAGGCCCAAAATATGGGCTTTAACCCCTTAATGATGGGTGAAGAAAACTAAAAAAAAAAGATCTACGCTCTGGAGATCAATGGCAACACGCCGACTTTGAGCACCGGAGTTCGGTACATCAACCCGGATCACCGGCTCATAGCACTTTGGTGCGCCACCGCACGCCACAAATCTAGCGATTTGTTTTGATGCTTCACAGTGTAACCCGTCAGGAAGGGATTAAGCTTACTTGGGCAACCACTCTAACGGGTCTGCAGCTTGTAGGCCAGGCACACGAGAATACACTCACACTCTCTCTCTCTCTCTCTCTCTCTCTCTCTCTCTCTCTCTCTCATGTGCAACATTAACAAAATAATTATTGATATATTGAGAAATTTTAGTAGTCTCTCGAGACTGACCTTCCTCTTCTTCTATCATTTGATTCTGAGATGTCTTATTTCTGTTCAGAATTGAATTGATGATCTTCCATGTGTTCCTGCACATTATTTGAGTTAGTCTTTAGTTTTTCTATGTGGTATTGACTGTGGGCAGAGGAAATCACTTTAGTGATTTTTAATTTCTATAAAAAAGAGTTTCCAAGCAATGCTCCATAATAGTTAATTCTGGTCATAGTTGTGTTTCATTGCAATTCTTCACATACAAGTCCACACCCCCTACTTTGGCGGGATAAATTGTTAGTGTAGGCATTGTAATTAGGTACAATAACCCAGTGACACCGGGTGTACAAATAAAAAAAAAAAACTCTACGCTCTAGCAAACAAAGGCAGCACGCCGACTTTGAGTGCGTGAGTAGGGGACATCAGCCCGAATCACTGGCTCGCCGCGCTTTGGCGCGACGCCGCGGCGTACAACCGCACACCAGCATTTGAGCGGTTTGTTTGCACGCCGATCTGCGTTACCCGGCACCAAGGGGTTAAAGAGATGTTGTATATCTATAGTTCATTTGGTTTCACAGGGCAAGATATTAAAGTTGGGACTTTGAATTGTGGATTAGTTGTTCTAGTTTTAACAACAGAGACTACAAACATGTATGAATGTTTTCATAATCTTATTCTTCTCCTCTTAAGTCTGTTAGTTGATTATCTATTAAATCTCTCTCTCTCTCTCTCTCTCTCTCTCTCTCTCTCTCTCTCTCTCTCTCTCTCTCTCTCTCTCTCTCTCTCTCTCTCTCTCTCTCTCTCTCTCCCCTCTCTCTCTCTCTCTCTCTCTCTCTCTCTCTCTCTCTCTCTCTCTCTCTCTCTCTCTCTCTCTCTCTCTCTCTCTCTCTCTCCTTCCTTACAGTAATCTTTTGTGGTCGTTTTTTTAAACCATATAGAGATGGGAAGTTAATAATCTTTGTTAATATCAACCCTGTTGTATTTATTATATTCCTAATATTTACAGATGTGAGCATCCCAACCAATTCTGGTGATGGGAAGCCAATTCTTCTCAAGTCAGGCCAGTCGGTGATGGTCATCAAAACTCAGAAAGGCATCTACCTGCGTCTTTCTGATGGCAAAATTGTTGCCATCCGTGTTCCTCCAGGAAATGGTGAGAGTGCGAGAGTTTGTCTGCCTGGACCCTTGACTGGTTTATTAAGCACAGCAGCTACTAATGGCAAAGATCAATCCAGCGCATGTAATAGCACAGAAAAATGACTTGGAAGAAGATGAGATGGAGCAGCATCTTACAAGCAGGTATTAATCATGTGCCCATTGTTATTAGTGTCATGCTTTTACTGCTCCCATTTGATTGCATTTGCATTAAAGTTGAAAATCAGAAATATCCGTCTCAGGAAAATCTTCACTGATAACACACTGTAATGTTATTAAATGATGATGAGAGCAGGATAAGAGTGACATGTTTCTTAACTTATTTGGAAAATGAACAAGGAGATTTTATATCCATATGGGTTTATACCAATGAGATATTAGGAATATATCACAAGTGTATTGGATAAAATTATGTTTACAATATGAAAGCATTGAATGATTTATGTGAGACCATAAAGGAGGAAAACCTATCCTTCATCCTTAACTAACAAGGCTATTAAAGCCTTGTTAAGGTTTGCATGTTCTTATGAAGCAAATTCACTGATCCTTTGATAGAAATATATTGTTTTCAGTTTTTTTTTTTTTTTTTTTTTTTTTTTTTCTCTTTTTTTTTTTTTCTGTACTATACCAT